ACACACGGACACGTGGACACACAGAGACACAGAGACACAGACACAGCACCCGCACACACACTTGTGGATCTTCAAGCTCTTACTCTCACCTTCTCCACAGCCATCTCGGCCTTGGCAAGGTTGCACCTGTCTGCGCCTTACGGGCGGTTGGCAGCCGTCGCGAGCGGTTGGCAGGGTCGCCCTTGGAACATGGGGGGGCATGAGAGCGTGCCACGGTTGGCCTGCAAGGCAAAGGTTGTCAGATTCCATGTGCAGCTTGATGCGTGTGCAGTGCGGAGAGGGAAACGTGTATCGAATGCTAGAGTCAGATGTTTGTCCTTGTCGTGAGAGACGCAATTTCCTTTCCATTTTGGCTTGCACAGTGTTCTTCCAAGCCGAAGAGTTTCTTCTGCAGGCCGTTGATGAAAGCATTGCCGTTGAATTCCACGCAGAAACGTATGAATGCCCTCAACACAGTTGTTCAGCTACGTGTGATCTTTTGAAAGACCGACACCGGGGGATAGGGCTTGCAACCATACGAACTGGTGCTTTTCCCGATTCAAACTCCCAACTGTTTGGACTTCAGGGAGCGCGAATCTCATCCTTTTGGGGCATTCTTTGCTTCCAATTGCTGATGTTTCATTTGCCCCTGTGGGTTTCAAAGGGAATCTACCAACTGCAGGAAACATTTTTCGGTTCTGTTCGTTTTATGTGGGGGGAACGGCATTTTTGAATTTATTGCTACCATGCCCAAGGGATCGGTTTTGAGTCTCTGGGTTTCGAAGAGCCCAAGGCGCGGCAACGGCCTCGAGCGGCTCGAAGAGAGCTTTGGGCAGCTGCAGCAGATGCGGAAGCTGCGCCTGGGGCGATCCCGCCATCGGTTCGATCGGGGAACGGGGAAATGAGTGACATAAACCATCCATTTCCCCATGGTTTCCTTTGAGGGACCCCCTTCCGGTTCATTCCCCTGCTGAGCACCTGCAAGAAGATCGATTTCGGTTTTCCTTGCACTGCTTGTAAATGCGAGGTTCCCCTTGGGATGGATTTGTCTCAAGGGGACTCCTCAAGATGGTTGGGGTACCCCAGCAAAAAATGGCACATGCCTAGGATGGCAGGAGAGACGTTCGGGCTTAGCCTTTCTAAGGTTCTTATATAGAACCTTTCGCGGGGTGCGGGGTTTTTAGGTGTTCTCCCTAGATGGTGTCCACTCCGAAACCACTCCCCACTGTATTCATACATATACAAAGCATACTCTTCTTACTATTAGTATCCTTACTATTATTATTAGCATTATTATGAATATTGTCACTATATCAAAGGTAGATATTTCGTTTTCCCTTGTGGAACGTGGTCTGTCAGTGGACACCTTGGATCCTAGCAGCTTTGGATCCCGAAGAAGCTCTCGGCAGGGCAGCCTTTGGATGCTCCCCAAGGAGTGCTGAAGGTCAGGAACTTGTTCTAGTTGGTCGGCGTTCTTTGGTCCCCTGATTGGGGCTTTCTGATTTCGAGGCAGACAGATCGCCTTTCGTTTGTTTGTTTGGTATTTACGGTTTCGTTCGGCTTTCGTTTTTGGTTTCGGTAGAACCAGCCAAGCTCAGCTCGAGGTTTCTGGACTTCAACCAGCTCAAGGCAGGGACGACACAAGCCCAGTCGGCTTTGCCTTCTTTGCTGATGTTTGGCAATCGTCTGCGGGAGAAGAAACATGTTTTGTTTTTTTGCAGCACGACTACCAGTGTGCTACCTTGCAGTCTTTGCCCGGTTGCCCGATTTCGCTTCATCTTGTTGATCAGAGGTGCTCGTTTGGGAGTCTAACAAGGAGCATGTAGGAACAGTCGCATCTATCATCAGGTCAAGCTTTTTGATCACATCCTCACAGCCTTTTGTCGATGCTAGCTGCGCAACAGCGAATCCTGCGGCACGATCCGCTGACACTCACACTGAATCGAGCAGATGAGCGCGCATTATGCCTGCGCAATACTTGTTCCATCCAGACATCAAGGAGCAAGGAGCAGAAGTGCCCTACCAAGGCTTTCCACATGTGTTGACTATTGCAACATGGCGAGTGGCGGCAATCAACGCCAAAGCAGCAAAATGCGGAATTCCTCCCAGGCTAAAGCCAACAATGTGGCAGTGGAGAGACTCTACTGTTATCGGATGTCCATCCGAAATCGTGGAACGAAACTTACATATCCGTAGGTCGGCCGAAATTCAGCCACAACTGGCCGACAGCAAAAGGCAATGGGCCTATAGGTATCATCCGCAATATTTGTCCCAAGTGTTGGAAAGCACTACTTTCCAGTGCTCCGCACTACCCAAATCGTTGGTCAGTGTTCCGTGCCGATCATATGTTGCTTGTGATGGTTTCGATCTATTTCTTGCAGCCAAAGGACATGGATGCCGCCCGTGTGTCCACCTGTAGAGAGAGAGAGAGAGAGAGACGCATTTTCGGAGAGCAATGGATTCATAGGAGCTGCCAGACAGCTTCGGCCAGTTGAGCGCACTGGAGGAGTGATGGGCCATGATGTCCACGTTATGGGTCGCATTCATTTGGGGGAGTGTGTTTTGGCGGGTAATTGCCCTTATTTTGGTTTAATGGGAAGCCAAAAAAACCTGGGCTCCCCCTATGTAGGAGGCATTCATTTTAACACTATTGCACAGGCTGCTGAGCTATGCAGCTTGAGCCGTGGGTGCAAGAGAAGCTGGCGTTTGTTTGTGCCTTGGACTTTTGCGGGGATGCTGAAACGGAAATGGCTGTGGGTCAAAATCAATGGTACCATTTTGGGGTATTTTTTGGGGGATTGGGATGTTCACTGGGGGTACGGGCTGTTGACCCATGGCCAAAGGGCTTTTTGGGTGTCGTCTTCCTGAGAGCTGCCGGCGTGCCGGCGTGTTGGAGGAGCTTCATCTCAAGGAGAACCACCTCACCCATCTCCCGGCGCCTCGAATGCCCCAAATCAGATGCCACATGAACCGCATATGGCGAATGCACGAAGTGGATCGTGAGGAGTGAGGAGTGAGGTGGTATGAGGTGGTGTGAGGTGGTGTGAGGTGGTATGAGGTGGTGTGAGGTGGTATGAGGTGGTATGAGGTGGTATGAGGTGGTATGAGGTGGTATGAGGTGGTATGAGGAAAGGCGTCGTGTTTAAAAATACGGTGCCCCATGGTCTTCCCTCTCAGTGGCTTGCGAAAAAAAAAAAAAAAAAAAAAAAAAAAAAAAAAAAACAGGTCTCGGGTCAGTGCTGGGCTGGAGACGATGAATTTAAAGTAGTGTTGACGCAAAGGGAAAATAAGACTCGACCGGCATTCGGACATTTGTTGACATCATAGAAAAGAAGAGCTTGTGAGTGTTGCTTTGAAGGCTCGCTCAGGAACCCTCGCTCTCGCAGAGCGTGGTTGTTATTGGCCATCGCCACCATTTCGTTCCACACGCAACAGGGTGTGCTCATCTTGATGGCGCACTAAGATTCAACCAATCATTTTGAGGGGTCTCCAAGTTCTAAGACACGCCACAAGCGTGCTATTCACCAGCTTTTTGGGGGTCTCCAAGATGCGGCTCGCCCTGACCCCTTGCGAGGTCCACTACGCATACACATACCATTTGCATCTTCACGTATCTTTTGGGAAGTGTTCGGGTGTAGTTGGTCTTGAGCATTCTGATTTCCACCGCAAAAGCCAAGCAACAAAATTACAACGTGTTGGCTTGAAGGTTCCGGGGCTTTTCTAAAAGGCTTCTGGTTGAGGTGGCAACAACTATAGGAACAATGGCAACAGCCAAGCCGCGTCTTGTTTGTCCCCCGTGAACACGTGCCCATTCGAGAAGAGTGAAAGAGTCTTCAGTGGAGTGTCGGATTTGCTCGGGGTTTTTGGTTGGGGTGCTAGCTTCGTTGGTTTATTTATCTCGGCATAAATTTGACAAAGTGGTCAGGAGTGGGCCTTCTCCCTTCTGGCAGTCCAGTCGGCCAAGTCAAGCTGAAATCTGAGTTAGCCTTGGATCAGCAAGTGCTTAAGTCTGTATGAAGGATGTCGGCTTGACTCCGCTTGATGTGTCTGGCCAGTTCAATTACTGGCGGATTTTTTGCGCAACGATGCCACTCGGCCAGTTGGAGGCAGATAGCACGCATAGCCGTTAACTGTCCATGCTTCACCCTTACCTGTGCCCGAAGCTTTGTGCAGCTTGAGTATTCAACAAGTTTCTCCCCCTACGACTGGTTCCCTTTCAAACACCTGATATATTTGTTTCCTAGTTGAACACCAATCAAGTTTCCGAGTAAACACCTGATATGTGTTTCCTTTGGCTCCCTAAAACCAACCAGGGTTCCATTCAAACTCCCATTCTGAGCACCTCCCGTGTCCTCCAAAACCGACGCCCGAGGAGAGCTTCGGGGACCTCGCGAAGCTGCAGGAGCCACTTGGCCTGGCAAAGGGACCGGTCGGACCGCTGGTCTTGGAAAAGACATGGCCGAAGCAGCGCAAATGTGGAGTTGGAACCACCTCAAATGTGGACACGAATCCCCAACGGAATGATGTTAAATCAAAGGGTCCCCAATTAAGAATCATGTTCAAATGGAGTCGAAGAACGGAATGGCTATCAAGAGCTCTATCAATGGAGTGTTGCAAAGGTTTGAAAGCTGCTTCAGATCATGATTGATGGCTTTCGTTGATGCGCATTCAAGCCACAGGGTTGATGGCTCTTCATGGCGCCAGAGTTCGTGTGTTCCTATGAGATGTGCAGAAAGCTCGGAAGGCATACGCAAGGAAGCTCCAATGTCTTGGTCCGTGCCACATGTCTCCAAAGATGGTGTCATCCCCAAGTTAGTTGTCTGAGTTGCGGTAGCCTTTCAGGGCTTGCTGCTGCCTGGCGTTTGGAAGTCCAATCAAGAACCAGAGTCATCCACAATTGTGGAGATGCCATGGTATGTCCCAACCGGCATGCCAATGCACCAACCTTTCTCCATTTTTACGTGTCAATTTTGAGTTCCGCTACATCCTTATGCTTTGCTCAGGCGGATCCGTCTCTGTGTTCTTCCTGAGATGGAAATGAAATTTAACAGGCAACCGCCTCAAAAGTGATGGGTGGACATGAATCCCCACCGAATTTTGATGCCACCAAAGGGTCCCTTATTAAAATTCATACCCAGACGCGACTCGGGTGGCTCCGTGCGAACGGAGGCTGAGCCTGCGCTGCAACTACCTGAAGACTCTGCCCGAGAGCTTCGGCCGCCTCACCGAGCTCAGGGCGCCTCGATCAGATCTGTGGGTCGCCCAAGCGTTCCGCCAAAATTTACCGAAGGACCCCCATACTCCCTGGTCTAGTGGGGACTGACAGTGAGGGCCTGTGCCAGTTTGGTGGAATGGTAGAACCAACCAGCTAGTGCAGTTGAGCTCTCTTTGAAACTTTGACCATGTTACACACACATGTATATGCATGTATATATATATATATGTATATACACTCTGTATAGAAGGCGAGCAACAGACTTAGAGTGACGTGCCTTCATGCCCCGTCCTCCCCCCTTTGGCCTGGCGCCTTGCGTGCAGGAGCTGAGTCTCAGCTTCAACCCCCTGGAGTATTTGCCCCAGAGCCTTTCCCAGCTCGTGAACCTGGAGGACTGCTTCGCTTTGGGGGGGGGTCCCTTTGGTTCCGCTGGGAGGGTTGGGAATTTTCAGATTTTGGGGGGACAAGTGGGGGGAGGGCGTTTTCCGTTTGGCTCAGCCCTGAAGCCAACTTGAAAAGGGCACCCCTCAAAAACAACGGGGAAGCGGGATACATGGTTTCAACGAGGGTCAGTCAACGTACACCACTCGGGCGTTTGTCCACCACTCCAAGGGCAGAAGTTGGGAGTTCGGCCTTTGTGGTTGCCTTATGTGTTTTGTCCGGCAAGGGTCTTTGGAGAACGCCCGACTGTCTGACTCACAGGGATATCCGTCAAGGGTATGCATCTTGTTAGGGGACCCTACGGGGTCCCCTCCCGGTCGGTTTCCTTTCCCTTTCCTCTTACTATTTGAACCCACATTATCAATGTTCAGTCGTTTTCTGAATTCCCATGTCAGCTAGGAGCACAATGAATGTCGACCGTGTTGAATATCGTGGGCAAGCCGAACGCATTCGGAGGGGCAGCTTGTTTGCTATCTTCGCCTTTGTCTGCAGGTTGTTGAGACACCATTGATGCAACCTATCATAGAGGGCGTTCAGCTCACTATTTTGGGAAGCGCTCTAGCGGAAGCTTCCCCATTCTTTCCAGGGATCATCAAGAACCCAGCTTGGAAACAGCGATCGGTTTTTGAAAAGAAGGATGGTTGAAAAGAATGGAAAAGGAATCACCCCCTAGAAGCTCCGTATTTGACTCTGCCTCACGAGTCAGCGAGTCGAGGGCTCGTGGAAACATTTCTGCCAGGAGCTGCACCTCCAGACAACTGCGCTCACGCATCTCCCGGAGTGCGCGCTGCAGCTGAAAGCGGAAGGCTTTGGTAGACGTGAACGTGTGTATGTGTGTGTGTGTGTGCGTGTGTGTGCGTGTGTGTGTGTGTGTGTGTGTGTGTGTGTGTGTGTGTGTGTGGGTGTGGGTGTGGGTGCGGGTGCGGGTGCGGGTGCGGGTGCGGGTGCGCGTGCGCGTGCGCGTGCGCGTGTGCGTGCGTGCGTGCCTGCCTGCGTGCGTGCGTGCGTGCGTGCGTGCGTGCGTGCGTGCGTGCGTGCGTGCGTGCGTGCGTGCGTGCGTGGGTGGGTGGGTGCGTGCGTGCGTGCGTGCGTGCGTGCGTGCGTGCGTGCGTGCGTGCGTGCGTGCGTGCGTGCGTGCGTGCGTGCGTGCGTGCGTGCGTGCGTGCGTGCGTGCGTGCGTATGCGTGCGTGTGCGTGCGTGCGTGCGTGCGTGCGTGTGCGTGCGTGCGTGCGTGCGTGTGTGTGTGTGTGTGTGTGTGTGTGTGTGTGTGTGTGTGTGTGTGTGTGTGTGTGTGTGTGTGTGTGTGTGTGTGTGTTTGTGTGTGTTTGTGTGTGTGTGTGTGTGCGTGTGTGTGCGTGCGTGTGCGTGTGGGTGCGTGCGTGCGCGTGCGTGTGTGTGTGTGTGTGTGTGTGCCTGTGTTCTTTTCGGAAGGTGCCCTTCTCAGCTTGGTTTAGAGTCAAAGCAAAAGAACACCAACACTTGCAGGGCCGACTTTGTTGACATGTACGACATGAGGTTTCAACGTGTTTTCGAGCAGAGAGCTAGCTGGGAAGTGGGAAGAGCCCAACCAAAGGAGCAGATTTGTACATGACATGAGCCTCAGGGTGACCAGGGGCTGGTATTTTCCACACGTCTTGAAGCACATCATGATGCTCCCCTGGTGTCATGGCTTCCTACTTTGGCATGCGCAGTTATGATGGTCCACCTGGCGATTGATCCAGAAGGGTGTTTTTGGCATAGGATGTTCAGCTTGGGAATCACCCGCTCTAATTTTGCAACTCTCTCTCTCTCTCTCGAGCACCAGTTTTCCGTGAATGAGCCAGGCACCATCATCGTCTGGTCCGACCTCTGAGTTATTTGCGACAAAAAAAGGTTCGCGGCTGCAGTGCGATTTGGTTTGGGAGGCAACTTTAGACACGTAGAGCCTGGTCAATGCCTTGGGATCTCCTTTTTTGGGGGCTGAATTTGGCCGAGTTCGTCCTAACAAGCTTTCCTGCCTACCCGCGAGGCCTGCGTTTCACTCCCACAATTCTGCTTTTCATGCGAGTCAAGTCGAACTCCGGATTCTTATGCCATCCTTAGTGACTTGAATAATTTGCGGTTTTTGGGTCAGAGGTCAGGTGACCCTTCTGGGGCTCTCCCACAGGGACTCCTCTTTGCCACAGCTATATTTCTGAACGGCGCTGAAGGCTGCTGCTTTCCTTAGTGTTGGATATACTTTAATAGCCCCCCCGGAACAGTGCCAACAGTCTGAAAATTCGGGGGTCTGGGTTCGACTTAACATTGCCAATACTTAATTGAGTTTTGCCAGTTCTCAAATTTAGTATTGCCAATATTGCCAATTCTACATTAAGCACTGCCAAGACTTACTCAGATTCCCAGTACTTATAATTTTTAGCATTCCCAATTCTAACTTTTGATCTGCCCCTCCCACAAAAACAAACTGGACATTCACGAAACAGTCAGACTGAACAAACTTCAGGGCTTCTTGTGGGCAACTCCCTTTGTGTGACTGTTTGGCCTCAAAGACGTTATCCTGAATTTGATGGTTTCGGGTCCACTTCGCAAACTGGACTCCAATTGTTGCCCGGATTTGTTTGCGTGGCTTTTGTTTCCCGATTTTGCCTGTCCGGAAGTTTTTTTTAGTGTTAGGAAATAATTTGCTATTGTCGAACCTGAACCAGTCGTAGCATTCTGAATTAGGACAAACATGCTACGATAGCGACCCCGGGATTTGCTGAGCCAAGGTGGCTGTTTTGGTTGCTGAGCCAGACGTCGCAGCAAAGAAGCTGGCGGGCCATCTCTTCCCATTCCAATTTCCAGCATTTGCAGTGGCATACATTGCAGCCTATTTCAGCTGGTCATTTCTAGGTATGTATTTCTCCTTCCAAGTTGCACCGCTCGTCACAATCACAACCCGGGGAAATTGGAGGGTAGGGGGACGGTCCCAAAACATAGCTTATTGTTCTTTACATGAATTTGAGCAGACCTTTTAGTTTCTCGGTTTCTACTTGTGACTCAGGTGTACTTCTACGTCGACGCGCCACGGCCCCAGAGTTTCAGGAAGCTGCCCAGGGGCTGCATGTGACAAGCCACATTGGTTAGACAGCTTCGGGATCTGTTTCAAGCAAAAGAAAATGGCTGAAGACTCACATGGACGAGTCAAGACCCAGAGATTGCGGCCCAACAAATTGAGACTTGGCAAAAGGAAGGCTCGGGGTGCCTCCCAAACCACAAGTGCGAAGAAAGGCGCGCCAATCAATGCGTGTAATTGTCGAACGGCAGGGTTTTGCTGGACCTTCCTCCCAAGACTTACCTCTTGTCCGAGGGAATCCCTAGCTCTATGAGTCACGGCAGCCGATCAAGCACTTGTCTACCAGACACAAAAGATGGCTCAGGTTGTGTAAAGGAAGGATAGAGCAACCAGCGAGAGAAGCAACCGCGACCACCGGCCATGCCTTTCAAAGCAGCCGGGATCGGGGAAAGAAGGCCAGGCAGAGCCGCAAACAGCCGAGCTTTGTGGCCAACCAACAAATCACAAAGAGAGGGCCGTTTGCAAGGGATTGCCCTTCACTTGTATGACTTTCAAGGCGAAGGTGATTGATTGATGATCAAATGGGGAGCGGTTGGGAGACGAGAGTACAAGGGGCTGAAGAAGTACTAACATTATTTTCCCATGGTCATGTCTATATATTCAGTTTTATGGTTCCCCCGCCCCCCTAAAAAAAAGAAGATTTAGCCCCTTATAATTTGTGTCAATTGGGTAGCGGTTGGGAGCCCCTTATACCAACAACTTCACGCTCCGAGGTTTGCCTTCATGATCTACAAAGCGCAGTAGTGTCCGCCGGGAGCTGGAGCCAGGCCACAGGGAGAAAGTGGAGGAGGGAAGCTCGTTGGAAGGGAAACTGAAAGGGGTAGAAATGGCTGTGGGTCAAAACCAATGGCACCATTTTGGGGTAGGTGCACCACCCATTTTGGTCTTTTTTAGTGGGGATTGGGATGTTCACTGAGGGGTAGAAATGACAAGTTTGGCCAAAGCCATGTGGGTATGGGTCAAAATTCAACCACCAGGGGACCGCAGGTTTTAGTCTTTGGTTCTATTTACCAGGGTTCCGTTTTCGGTACGCATTTGGTTTTGATCCATGTTTCCACGTGCCAGGGTTCCATTTGGCGCCTATTTTTGACCCACAGCCAAATGACAAGTTTGGCCAAAGCCATGTCCAGAAAACGTCATACGGTGGGCCAGGTGTGCTATGAATATGTTAGTAGATTCTAAGAACATCTCGACCACTGTTGAAGCGAGGCCGTTTCGGAACAGTGGTCGTCTTTGCCGAGCCTCTTGTCGTAGACGGTCACAGAATACGTCCTCAGCCAAACCGGGGGGAAGATTTGCAGAGGCCAACCTGTTTGAGGGTCCCAAGTTCCCGCACACTCATGCCAATCCAGACCTTTTGTGCCACCCATCGCCGGCTTTCCTTTCGGTTTGCTTTTGGTTGTTTTCAAAGTCCATGCAAAAACGGGGTTTCCCAAAACAGGCACATGCATTTCACTCGCAAATTGTGACGTGCTCATTTCCGGGCAAAATCCACTTGGGAGTTACGACAACAAGTGTGCACACGGATTCTGTACCATTGACTTGCTGAGGCCCCCCCAACCCCCTCGTTTGGTGTGACAAAAAACAACTAAGGGGTTGCACCCACGCACATTTGGCAATTGAATCTGGGACTACCTTGAGGGGCATTTTCAGGTGGCCGAAGTGAGTCACCGCTTAGGCTTCATGGAAGGGTGTGTGCAAGGCAGAGAGAACATTTGCGTGGGTTATGCTGCTTTAAGCCTTGAGCCCACTATTTCAGGAGTGAAGAAGTCCTCTTTTGTGCTGCTTTCTGCTTTGAAATTGCCTGTTTCTTTAGTGTTTGTCCCTTTCCGGGGTGGACATTGCCTGAGGTTTCACCAATTCAGAGGTTGCCAACCATCGTCTCACCGGCTTCGGGGGTGCGGGCGGCGGTGCTTCGGCCACGCGCTGAAATGCCCTGACCTCGGGTCGTGCATGACTGGAAGCTGCCGCGGATGAAAACACATGGGCATGGTCAAACGACCACTTGGGGTTACTAGTGAAAGATTCCTCAGACGTTACATCCACGTGGCAACTGGGGCCCGCGACTTTGTAAATTTATTAACAGTTAATGACCAATGGTTAGACATCAAAAAGAACCTGAGAACGACGGGATTTCCGAGGGGGGGGGGGGGCCGACAACTGAGAAACTCCACGAGGCAGGGAAGGAATCCTGACCCACACAAGGAGTTTTGACCGTGACTCATGTGAGATTCAGGAAGGAAGCATAACATAAAACCCAGGTGAATCTGGTGTCAAGGGGGATGCAGTGAATCTCAAGTCCCATGGGCAAGCCATGATTTGCTCGGGCAAAAGGACACCTTGGGAAAAGGGCAGCATGGTCACCGGTCGAAACGCCATGCGATTGCACGCCGCATGAGCGATTGCACAATAACATGACAGGGAAAATCATCCGGAGTCTTCGGGTTCTTGCACGGAAATCTACAGCTCATCCCAGCCCCTCCCAAATGGAATTTGTAGACTGGATATTCTGACCGCTCCTGTGCCAAAAAAAAGCAATCACAGACCCCCGCCCCAACGTGGTTTGAGGCATTTCCCTTTGTGGGAATGCTGTTGCTGAGCAGCAAGGCTACATTCCTCCGCGTTTTGCACCTTGCCGAGTTTGGGTTGACTTGCATCTCCAGCAAAGGTATCCAACCAGCGCTGCTTTTGTCAGAACCTCTTCACAGCTTTTGCACGCAAGGATCTTAAGTTGGAAGAATTTGAAAGACAAGGTGCACCAGGCGGGCGTTGGGCCAAACAAGCACCGCCTGAAAACCAGCAGGTTCCGTGGGATATGTTCTGAATGACCGCTCGGCCTCCGGCTCAATCCCCGTGCCACAGAAAAGTCGCCTTGGCTGCTCGGCCGACTTGGAGAGTTTGAGCGGTTGATTCGTTCTGTACGGAATCCACCGTCGGGGATGAGTTCGAAAAGTATGGTCTCAACGCCCTATTCCCCCAGCAACTAGGTCTTCGAACCATGTGAGGCATCCAAATTGCCAGAGGGAGGCTGTAGGCTGCGAAGATTCGCTTGCTACGCTCCGCTGGCTCAGGAGAGATTTTGGCTGCTCAGGCATGGCGGTTGGCAGCTCAGATTCTGGCAGACTTGCCAGTAGAGAGGTGCAGTAAGGCCTTCTGCTGGATAGATGTCTGGATGATGAAAAAGCAAACCAACTGGAAGTCAAACACTTTTGTTGGGCTCCCGTGGACACAAACCTAAATGAATTGCGGCCCAGGCCAATGTGAGCTTTGATCGGTACATCAGCCAGTCAAACATGATGGAACTAGAGCCAATCTGACCAGCTGAGTGGGAGGACGCTGCCCCTCTCGCGCACTGAGGACAAACAGGGAGGAGTCTGGAACCAAGTGGAACAGAGGGGTAGCACTAGCACCTGGAGTGCGCGAGTCCAGTGACCACCTTGACTTGAATGGCCTGACCATTGGGGCCGGCAGGTTCTTCAGGTTCCGTTTTCTGTTTGGAGCCTTTTTGAGGACACCAACAAGAACCAAGTGGTTTGACTGAGAAATGCTTGCGTGCACTGAGGAAGATGACTACAGGGCGTTCGGATCCGAGAGGGACGGAGATCTAGGGGGAGAGAAGCCGTCAGGCTGATTTCGGTTGATTTCCCGCCCAAAATCCCCTGCGGCTGAAAGCTACCGGGTTCCGGGGCTGTTGGGGGAAACCACCTTTTGTTCTTTTCTTCGTGGTAACAGAATGCATGTCCGAGCCTTCTGTTTGCTTGACACACTGG